ACATTCCTTGGCTCCTAGTCCCCTCTCCATCTTCAAATCAGCAATGTAGCAAATATCTCACTTTGCTTCCACCTCACATCCTCTTTCTCTGACCACAGCTAGGAAAGGTTTTCAGCTTTAAAGGATCATTTAATTAAGTTGTGCCTACCTGGAAAATCCAGACTAATCTTCCCATATAAAGATCCTTAATTATATCTGCAAAGTTATTTTGCCAGGTAAAGTAACATAGTCACAGGTGCAAGGGAGTAGGATGTGGACATCTCGGAGGGGACATTTTTCTGCCTGCCATGGTGAGCATCTCTATTGAGGCCACATGACATAGGTAGTCTCACTACCCCACTGCAGCTACTTTCCTCAATGCCATGGTGATAGGATGTTAGTAACTGGAGTGGTTTCCAGTTTCAGTGGCATTCATCTCTTGACTTTTGTGTTCCTACTCATGATTAAACAGAAAGTTTCTATTGCTCCTAGTCCCAAGACTCATCCCCGTGTCTAGTGACATGGAAAACTCATATTCTTTTTTTCTTTTAAAGACTTTATTTATTTATTTATGAGAGACACATACAGAGAAGGAGGCAGAGACATAGGCAGAGGGAGAAGCAGGCTCCATGCAGGGAGCCCCATGTGGGAGTCAATCCCCAGACTCCTGGATGACACCCTGAGCCAAAGGCAGACACTCAATTGCTGAGCCACCCAGGCATCCTGGAAAACTCATATTCTTACATTGCATTTTCTTTTGTGAAAGGTAAATAACATGCTATTGCCTCATTATTTAAAATATTTAAATGCCTTCTCATTGTACTTGTTACAGTACGTATGGGCCCTACATAATCTAGCCTTTGCATATTGATCACCTGGTTTCTCCCTTGCTTATGGAACTACAAGTACACTAAATTTCTTTTAGCTTCTCAAATTCATCAAGCTTTTTCCTGTCACATGCTCCTCACACATGCCATTCTCTCTCTTTAGAATGCTCTTGTTCACACATTTCATCTGGCCAATTCAAGTCTCAGTTTATATTTCATTTTTTCAGTGACACTTTCCTTGTGTTATCTATCTAAATTATGTCCATACTGTTATCCTTTTCTACAGAACCTTATTTTCTTTTATTATAATTACTATTTATTTATTTAGTGTATTTTCGGTTTCCTTCAAAGGCCTCCAAGTTATATGACAGCAGGAATCATATATCACTCTAGCCAATAAGATTATAAACTCTTTAAGAGACTAATTAAAGTTTGATCTTCCACAGCCCAGAAGGCAGTGTCTTGGACACTGTTGGTAGGCGTTCCATAAATATTTATTCAATGAATCTTGGACTACAGATCTAGACTCCACTTTCTTTCTCTTCTAAGTCACATAGCATAATATTCTAAAACATTGCTTCCATCATCTTAATCCCCTGCTGAAAAACATGTCCACTATTACCTCTTTTAGCAAATTCAACTTTATTATTTCTCCTCTCAAATAAAGTATGTAGTATTTTATAATCCTCACAACACAATTCAGTACTTATCTATTCTCTCAAATGATTTCTAGTTATTTCATATGTGTGAATGCAAGTTGATTAAAACTGCCTTCAATAAGTCTACATTTTCTATTTTGGCTTCCCCTTTTTTTGGAAGAAGCTATCAATCAAACTGTGAAATAAAAAATTGATTTATTACTTTGTATGTGTAGAAGCACTATACTTGTGTGGTCTAGTCTCTCTGTTGATCATATATGGTATTTTGTGAAATGTGGAGTTCGGTTATTGACTGACTTTCAAAATGGGAGTGGGTTGGGTTGACGTCAGCTCTGGAAGCATAATTACTCTAGTGGAGAGACTGTTTACAATTGGCTGATTTTCAGAGATATGTTCACAAGAGTAAAGCTGTTGCTGTTTGGCTAACTTTAAAAAGTGGGAAGCTGTCACTGACTGGCTGGTTTTTTTAGAGGCTTCTTCACAGCTTTGAGTCACCACCATTGATCTATTAATTGAGTTGAAAATTACTTCTGTTCATTAGTTGTTACCATAGCTACACAATCATCTTTTCCTAAAAATATGGGACTTTTAATATTTTCTTCAAGAATTATTTATTAATTGATGAACCCATTCAACTTTTTCAGTTGTGAGAAGAAATCGGGGGTTTATGGTACAGCTAGAACAGTTCTGTTCTAATGTTTGGCCTTTTTTTTTTCTTTCTTTCTTTTTTTAATGTTTGGCCTTTCAAAGGGTAGTTGTATCATTCTTTTTCTCTCTGCAAGGTATCTCTCATTTTCATTCTAACTAAGCAGGGATGATCAGGTTCAGCAGTCATATATAAAAATTGATGTGAAATGCCCTTTTTGGGCAACCAAACAGTATTGATAGGTACAGGCTAGACATTTCTTTCAGCTTCACAACTGATTACTGATAATGTCATGTAAATTTTTAGGATTGTTGTTACATTTGGAAGAATCTCAAATAAAATTGTTTGATATGACTGAAAAGAGTTCAGGGCACATTAGGTTTCTTTAAACTGATAATACTCTAACAAGCTTGTTGTGGATATCCTTATTTAATTCTAATGGAAAAGAACTTCCTTTTATAGCTAAGCATTGACAAGCATTAAATCTTTCATTAAAATTTTACACATTCAGGGGCACCTGACTGGCTCAGTTAGTAGAGCATGTGACTCTTGACCCTGGGGTTGTGGGTTCGAGGTTGGTGCTGATAGGTAGAGATTACTTACAATTTTTTTTTACACATCCAGTAATTAGAAGGATATCCCACAGATTAGCTCTAGGCTCCCTAAGTTTTGTGTCTGCTCCACTATATATATTTTCTTGGTGGTAGAACATAGGACACATTCAAATAGCTACTAAATGTCTGGCCCTTCACCTTTGTTTTATTATGATGGGTGGGTTGGCACAATGGGTGGTAGGAGTATTCTTGGATGCCATTCCTACACTGGGACAGCTGGCAATATTTTAACTATGCATAGAAGTGACTGTGAGTTACAAAAATATATCCCACTAAACTCAAACCAAATGTATTCTAACTCAACTTCCTTCAGCTAAATTTAAAAAATGCCTGCTAGCCACTCCTACACCACTGGACAAGGGGAAGTGTGACAGAGGAGAAATCAGTGAAGAAAGAATTTGCGGTCTAAATATTGCAGTCAAAATTTTTTGTGAACTGTGTGAATATACTGCTAGGGCCCCTTCCAGGGCCTTGGAAAAAGCTAGTGCAAATGAAGTCCCCTGAAGTTGAAACCTTCTTAGCTATGCATTAAATCTGCCTTGGGGTCTGGGGCCTTTTTATTTATAGGGTAGATTGTCAATTTTCAGTCAGCTCATTTAGGACCAGTGTATAGGTTGATTACAGTTCCATTTGAGGCAAAGATTTGCCTCTTGTGTTAAAGGGCTTTCTGCTTTGTTTAGACTAAGAAGTTCTCAAATTCTTTGCTTTCATGACCATTTCACTCCTAAAAAAGTATTGAGGACTCCAAAAAGCTTTTTATGTGGATCATATCTGTCAATATTATCAGTAATAAGAGTCAAACATGTAAGATATTTATTAATTCATTTAAAAACATAAACAAGTCTGTTACATGTTAACATAATTAACATTTTTAATGAAATAGAACTATTCTTTCAAAGCAAAAAGCATTTAGTAAGAAGACTGGCATTACATTTCTGTAAATCTCTACGTCTGGCTTAATAGAATTCTCATATCTGCTTCTGCCTTCAATCTGTTTCGGTATCACTGAAAATGTAGTCTCTGGAAAAGTCCAGTCTTCGTACGAACTAATTTTGATCCCCAACTAAACTTTGAGAACTGCTGAGTTGACATCATTATACCTACTTTCTGGGATGCCTACAGCTTTCAAAATACCCACTCTCTCTGTATTTATATAATCAACTCCACCTTCTAGATAAGAGGGAAATGTTTAAATATTGCTATCCTTTTTTGCATACAAGAAAAACTTCAGAAACAATTTTTAAAAAATATTTTGTTTATTCATTCATGAGAGACACAGAGACAGAGGCAGAGGGAGAAGCTGCGGGGAGCCCGACGTGGGACTCTATCAGGGGTTCGGGGTTCACGACCTGAGCCAAAGGAAGATGCTCAACTGCTCAGCCACCCAGGCGCCCCCAGAAACAACAATTTTTAATGAATCACGAGTCTTAGAGAAGTAATTTTTCCCTTTTACTGACAAGGGTAAAAGCATCTCCTTCACTGTCTCCTTTTTGATAGCAAGGCTTTGTTCTTTGAGGAATACAACGGCAAAGGCAAACGTTAGACCAAGACCAAAAACAACGCTGGGCGTCTTACATGGTCTAGGGATACCATCTAATATTTACCAAGTCCCTTCTGCGTGCTAGGCATGTACTAAGTGCTTCACATACATTTTCGCATTTAATTCTCCCAGCATTCCTATGAGGTACCTACCATCAAGGTACCTACCATCATTCCCATTTTACAGATGAGAAAACTGAGATAAAGAGAGGCTAATGCCCTGCGTTTTACAGGGCTGAGCCGGAAACTACATTAAAAAAAAAATCTATCTCCGGAGCGCAATTACCCACTGATACAATATAAAGGTGGACAGTAGAGGTGAAAAAGGGAGGTTAGTAAAGGAAATAGCCTCAGGGGTAAGATAGCTGAGGTACCAAGAGAGGATGCACTGTATTATTTTTCACCCGAGGCTTCTTTTCTGCGTCATTTTCTACGCTCCCCTGTTCCTCTTTCCGTATCTTAGTTATCTCACTGCAGGTGGTTTGGACGCCCAGGCCTGGGGCTGAGGTTGAAATTAACGCGTTCAAAAACCTGCGGAAAACGAGCGAAGCAAACCAGAGTTAGCGAAGGAGACCGCGGCGTGGCGAGGACCCTGCGCACGCGCAGCACATGCCAGGCCCGCCTGCCCCCCCCGCTCCCCCCGCCCCTCCCCGCTCCGCCCGAGATTCCCCCGCTGGGCTGGTGGGGAGGCCGGGTGTGGGCCGCGGGCGCCGAGCAGAGGGAGGCGCGGGCTGGGCGCCTGCGCAGTGGCCGGGGCGCTGGTGTGATCGAGCTCACGTAGCGAGGGCTGCAGTCGCCTCCTCCCCAGCGGCGCCGTCGCAGCCTAGAGGTTATAAAAGGGCTAACTGGCTCCCTCTGCTGCCCAGTCGCGCCGCCAGCGGGCTGAGGGAAGGGTGCAGGTATCCGGCCCGAGAGCAGACTACAGCGGACTGAAGAGCGCGCCGCCCCCCCCCCCGTGCCCACTCCCAGGTGAGACGCTCCCCGGGACCCTGGAGTCTGCGCCTCAGGCCTTAGCACGCCGTGGCCCTTCTCGGACAGCTGTGGCGGCCCGGTCCCTGCTCACTCCGATGGGATGGCTTGGGGGCGGAGGGTTCTCCAGTTGACCCTCACAGCGGCTACTGCCTCTTTTTTTTTTTTTTTTTTTTTTTCCTGGAGACCTGGCCCCGCGCCCCCTGGCTGCCCCACAGGCCCTAATGCCGGTCGCCGCGCTCCCCTTCTCCCGCCTCCTTGCCTGGTCGGCGCCCCCGGCCGTTGAGGCAGCGGCAGCCTCCTTCCCCGCCCTGGGGACCAGGACTTTCTTGAATATTCCTCGCTTCCCGGGGAGGGCTCTCAGCCTGTTGAGTTTTTCCGAGCTGCTCTCCTACCTGGTCCTCTCCTGCCAGAGCTGGGGCGGGGGCGGGGGGCACGCGAGGGCGGGGCGTGGGTTTTCGGCCTCCGCCGCCTCAGATGGTTAGCATGTGGCGGAGCGGAGAGCGGGCTTCACAGCCCGGGGTCGGGAGCTGAAGCCCTCGGGGCGTTGCGCCCTCACGGGAAAGTCGTCCGGTCTGAGGAGCGGACGGACCCAGAGCCGGAGAAGTTGGGGCTTGGCTCATCTGTTGCGCGCAGCGGCGCTGCTGGGGCTGCGAGACGCAGCCCGGGGCGCAGAGTTTCGGGCTGCTGCGTGGAGGAAGGCGGCTGTCAGATCGCCCGGTCGTCGGGGAAGCTCCTCTTCCTTCCTCCTTCCACGACTTTTTTTTTTTTTAAAGGCACACGAGCTTCACCCCCCACCCTTCTCTTTCAGCAGAGTTTGCTGCTTTTAAAAGTCCCCATCAGTAAAAACGAGTTCCGTGGTTGTGTGAGAACTTCGAGTTGCATCGCACCAATGCCGCCCCCCCCAACCCCCGCCACCGCGCCCCAGACGTATGTTTACTTAAGGGGAAGGAAGGATGATACTCCTTCTCCCATTTGTAGGAGACTGTTTCTCTCCTGAATACTCGAATGTGTGAAAGTTCAGTTTTTTTTTTTTTAGACAACTCTCAGGCGTTCCGGAGAGGGAATTCTCTCCTGGAATTCTGTGCACTGTTTGCTTTAAGAAAGGGATAGAGAAGCGAGCCGTCCTTTTAGGAATTGATCAGAGAGGCCACCGAGGGTTGCCAATTTCAACTTAACTGTTTATGGTTTCTCAGAGAGCCGCGGCTCTTGGACTTTCCCTTGGAAAGCGCTCCGAAGGGATGAAACAGCCACTACGTGAGTGGGGGAGGGGAAAAGACGTGGCAGCAGTGTTCTTTCATCAGGTTTGCTCCTTTAAAAAAAAAAAAGTTTCTGGCAAGAGACGTATTTCTCCTTTTAGGTTTAGATGTGCGAATAGCCTTATGAATGAGGCTAGTCTTTTTCTAAAATAATCAGATGGAATAGTAGGAACACTAGAATTTAAAAGACATTTTGAAGGTATTTTTCTGATCGAGTTTCTAGAGAGAAGATGGATACCTTAAGCAGGAAATATTCAAGAAGCTGAAAGTGAACAATCTTTAATATGTGTTGCCTTCATTTGAAATTTAAATAGACCTTGCATGTGTGTGTGTGTGTGTGTGTGTGTGTGTGTGTGTGTGTTTTCTTTAACTAACTTTTGGCTTCTAGCCTGTGAATAGAATTTCGGAATCTTAAGTAGGAATCTCAAATTTTTACCTCTTTCTTTCTGTAGGAAGCATAGGCTTTATCACTTACCTTTAAGCGCCAGGTCATTTTTAATTTTGAAACATTATGCCTCAAGTCCTGCCAGTATTTTAAAAAGCTGATGGTAGATGCATCCTACAGATTTAACGTAGACTAACTAGGAAAAGGACTACTTTGTCTCTTTTTAGATGAGATAATGCTGTTTCCTTTGACATCTTAAAATGAATTTTATTTCGAAGTACTTAAAGTAATAACTTTGGTAAGCAGATAATTACATTGGCCATTTTGTTGCCTTGGTAACTAAGGTAGTAAAACAGTTAAAAGAAATACACCTTTTAATTACTGTAGAAAAATTTAGACAGTGTGAAAGACTATTGAAGAAAGAAAGCTTTATACCACTTAGGTGGTCCAGGTTGTTGCGGGTGAATCTTGGCTTTCTGATAGTGAGATGCTAACCTTTTCTAATATTGCAGAGTGGGTTGTATACTGACTGACAAGCAGCATCTTTAATAAGGTGATGAAGTTCAAACTCCTGCTTTTATTCCAGGGATGTAGCAAGAGTTACTCCAGGGCCTCAGTGGTAAAGCTGTGAACCTTCCATTTCTGTGGAAGGAATGCCTTATTTACTTAGCAATTAATTATCAACTGGGATATAATTACTGCTTTTATATTTGAGAAGTGTACCCTGAGATACATAGTAGCAGTTCTCAACTTATTTTGAGGTCATGAAATCCACTGAAAATCTGATAGGAGGTGTGTGGGTCCTGAGTCAGAAAATGGAAGTACATGTGCATGGAGTGTTATGTACCATTTACAGATACTCCCCTCCCTCAACCTTACACAGCTGTTAACTATTATAAGGATAAAAAATAAAAGATATATAAAGTTAATCTTTAAATACATCTAGGTATCTTGAAGCAGTATTTCTTGAATATTTCTGAAAACGGAACTGAGCTATAAGTCTAACTGGATTTGAATATATAGATGACAGTAATAAGCTATTGCTGAAAGGGTTTCAGCAAAGGTTAATAGGTTGGTGGGAGAATTGTTGAATTGCCTAGGCAATCATATGTGGTATTGCTCCCCCTGGCTTCCCCTCTCCCTCATATGTTGTAATAGGTCTTTGGTTTTCCTCTGAAAGTAGAAAATGCTTGGATGTAAATAAAAATAAATTGCATTGGCCCTTGGCATGAAACTGTTTGCTCTTCATACAGTGAGAACTTGAATCTTACAATTAAATCATAATGGTGTGTTTGTGCTTAAAATTATATGAATATGTAAGACACAGGCCAAATAAAATGTGTATGTATTTATGAAACTAGTTAAAGCTTCATTCATGTTTCTACCCCATGAAATTTATTTGTATAATATGAAGCTATCTTCTCATTGGTTTTCCTCTGGCCAAATTTTGTGCCTTAATAAAAACTAGAAATTCAAAAGACTTCATTAAGGTACGCCAGCACTTTTTGAACTTGATATAATGAGAAATATTCCTTTTCCTATGTTTCTTTGGATGATCAGTGTGACTATTAGTATATTTGGTAGGACATTGGCAAAAATACAGTATAGTGGTCCTGCTTAGTGTCATCTGTGAATGCATACTATCTTGGACTTCTTCCTCTTCCCGTTTAATATTTCATATAAGTATGTCCATGTTTTGGTGGTTTATGAAATTTTCATTTAAATAGTAATATTATAATATGTTAAATTAATATACTCAGCCTTTCTTTCTTCTTGGGCATTTGAGCTGTTTCTTCATAATAAGTAGTGCAAAGAGAAGGCTGTAATTTGGTGGTTTATTTTATCCACCTGTATAGCTACAGTAAACTTTAACCAGTTTTTTGTTTTTTTCTGAAAAGAAGCACATAACCATAAACCACGTATCAGTAATTTTTTCTTTTCTCTGAAAGAATTTTCTGAGGGCATTGGACTGGGCTCTAAAAAGATTTTTTTTTTTTGTTAAAAGATTTATTATTTATTTATTTATTTATTTATTTTTTTTATTTTAGACATAGAGAGAGGCAGAGACACAGGAGGAGGGAGAAGTAGGCTCCATGCCGGGAGCCCAACACGGGACTCGATCCCGGGACTCCAGGATTGCGCCCTGGGCCAAAGGCAGGTGCTAAACTGCTGAGCCACCCAGGGATCCCCTAAAAAGATTTTTTATCTACCTGATAACAACTGATTATATATATATATATTATATATTTATATTATATATAATCTTAAAGATTTTATTTTAATTAATTAATTCATTCATTCATGAGAGAGACCGAGAGAAAGAGGTAGAGAGACATAGGCAGATGGAGAAGCAGGCTCCCTGTGGGGAGCCTGATGGAAACTCCATCCCAGGACCCTAGGATCATGACCTGAGCCAAAGGCAGACACTCAATCACTGAGCCACTCAGGTGCCCTTTGTACTTTACATTTTTTAAAGTGTTGTTTCATATATAATTTGTTCCTTAAAATAATTCTGTGAGGTAGTTTTATATCGTCCCTATTTTACAAGTGAAACTGAGAGAGAAGTCAAGTAATTTGTCCAAGCATAGTAACTGTGAGCACTAGGACTGGGACCTAGGTTGTCTGTTTTCTATTCACATTTCATATATTTTTTTTCATTTCATATTTTTAAATTCTGCAACCATGAATTCATCACTCCTTATTCTAGTATATGTGACTTTATTTCATATGTCTTTTCTTGAACTTGACAACTTTAGGTGTGGCATTAGAAAAAAAGAGGGAATTGAAAGCTAGAATGAGAAGAGGAAGACTAGGGTTAAGAAAAATAGAATTTGCCCCCAAATTTATATAAATTCCTAGGTAGGGAGCTCCTCAGTGTCCCATTAGGGGATATGAGGTGTCTAAATAAAGCTTTTGTTTTGCCTATGAATATCCAGCTCTTCTAGACTATCCTTGCTCTATTGAGTTGTCTTTATACCTTTGCCAAAACCAAACAAACCATTTTCTGTGTCTGGATTGTCTATTTTGTTCCACTGATCTACATGTTTCATTGAAAATTCTGCTTTTGGAATATTTTGCTATCACCTCATATTCCTTATTTAAGCTTAAAAACTCTAAAATGTAAAAATCTAGATTTTGCTCTTCATTTATATCTTCAGGGTGGTGAAAACAAAGTTGTCTTATCAGGACTTTCTATGTAAATAAAAAAATAGATGAAATTTGTTTTGGAGCAGAAGGGATTGATGGTGGTATTATGTCAGCAGGTAGAGCTGGGGAGTTAAACATTTGGATTTTGCTCACTCTGTCCCTGATTTGAATTTGTCTCTTCACTTCAGTGCTACTTTGACTTTGTTTTT